TTTGCAATAGATCAACAATTAACATTATGTTATTATATTAATAACAGGTGTTTTCTTTTATAAATAATAGGGAAAACATTTGCTGTGTTTAACGAAAAGATTGGAAATGAACACGGTGACGTCTCTATAGTTTTGCTATCCTACTTCAGTTGACGATGATTTACAGTATCATATGAGGATTTAACCTCGATTCGTCCCAATTTTTTCTCTCTCAGTTCGTCCCTTTTCTTATACACTTTTTGACAGTTCTAAAGTAAAGATACCAAAAAGTGTCGTGCAACGTTTAACTCAGTCGACTTTCCGATCTTTGCGCAGAATAGTTGACCGTCTAGTATTAATATGACTTTTGTCTGTATAACATGTTTTCTTTTATAGAGTAACTTTGTTGTATATGTATATAATACGTTTTTCCGTTATTCATGAAGAATTAAATTTTATTGTTCTCTTTAAAGATAGTGCAAATGTGTGTAAGTACAAGTTAACAATGCCTTTTGTTTCTATTCCCACACATGATATGTTTATAGTATATAATTTCTTCTGAACCTCAGAAATGTTGCATGCAGTTGAAAATTTGAAATTATGTTGAATTATAATGGATACATAATGGAAAATTGTAGAGATAGCGGCATCGTGCTGATCGACGCTTTTTAAACTCGACTGAATACTTTTTCACGTTTTCATATATCTTAGTGTTTTTCGTCTTGCACAATCAGTCAAAGCAAATTTCTAGTCTTATTTACTATGTCTCTTTCGTCTAGATAGTACCTTGCGCTAAAAAACTTATACAGTTTTAAGAAATTATAAATTTCTAGGACAGCACAGAAGAATAGTACACAATTTTCCATTATGCATCATAATTTCCAACTGCAACATTTCTGAAGTTCATAGCAAAAACTGAGAGTCAATATGTACTCAAAATGATCATAGTCCGATAATTTAATGTCGAGAATTAGAGCCTATAATGGAAAAGTGTAAACATAATAGACACCACTTAGAACAATACTGATATTAGAAACTAGAACTTCTTTTGAAATGTTGTCTTTTACTGACTCTCAGAATGGAAGCTCTGTGATGAATCACACCGGTTATCAATCAAAACATTTAGTTCAATTTAATAAAGTTACAATTTATCATTGCTCTTATAAACTAATATGTGAATTATTATTTTTTTCTCTCACGCAACATATACATGTTACCACTAAAATTGATCGAAACACCTCAATTAAACAAGTAACATTTTATTTTGCTGGATTTCAGCAGCCCCACAGCTGAAAAACTGAAAGCCATTAGTTCTAAAAATAAGATTCATGGAATTCTCAGTCTCATCGTGATTGGGTAGTGTTCAACTAATTCCATTTTAATTCGGAAAGTTGACAGAATACATTCATGTTGTTTAGGCATATGTTGTATCAAAGTTTAACGTCTGTGTTCATATGGAAATAAATTGAGAAAGTAGAAGAAAGTGAGTTAATAAGACAATTATAATCCCATTATGTTCTGTTCATAAGTTAAGATTATAAAAACAGCTGTAAGAGTTGTACTCCTCATCACATGAACATCCATTTTAATGTTGGAAACAGTAGTAATTAAATTTTTTATTTATATAATCAACAAAGAAAGAAATATTTATTTTATAAGCAAATATTATGTGCAATATTCTTTAGTTGTATAAGAATATCATCATGTGGATGCAATAAAAGACTTAAAAGACATCATTCAAACCGTTTATTTGTTTTACTTTTATGTTTTGGTGCTTCATTATTTTTCTGATATAGATGTTGCTGTGAACATACTTTTTTCAAAATGAGAAAGTGAATTGAGAAGTGAAAGGTGAGACGTGACGTGAATTGAGAAATTGAGAGAATTCACATCAATTATCCTAAATAATAGTATATTAATAAATTTTAGCGGCCTTATAAGTCAAGAATTAAACGGTAGGCTCGATGTAGAACATAACTCGTGCATTAAATAAAAACCAGAGACGTGTAAGGCGCACATAATTCGAACGTCGAGCACTATTCTATTTTTGACTTTCTCATACATCATTCGAAAGCCCAGATCGAGACGGTCAAGTAAAACTTAGTTTGAGCTCTCCCAGTGCACTTTTTCATGTCGAAAAATTCAAAATGCGGTAAGGATGATAATTTTCGAAAAACCTTCCCCTGATGAAAAATGAGCATATTTATTTACATTAGAGTTTAAAGCTTCAAGATATTTTTTTTCTTGTTCAAAATCAAAAACTAAACTTAAAAACGGATTTTTTGACTCAATCACATATGATGTGGTGAATCCGGAAATTCGTTTTCAAGTATATCTCTAAAATGAACACATCCTCGCGCAGACCTATCTGCTTTTTTCTGAAAAGAGATAGAGACTTGATTCTTGTACCATTAAAACCCCCTTGAAACGTACAACGAAAGTATAAACCGGTTTTTTCAAAAAAAGCTTTCGTTGATGAAAAATTTCGCTTTCTTGTCTACAACAGGCAAATCGGTCAAGCCGTTTTCACACAGATTTTTTATTTTTCACTCAAAATCCGTGAAAATAATATGAAATAGGTAAAATTTTCGGGCTTTCGCATGATGTATGAGAAAGCCAAGAATAAAATAGTGCTCGAAGTTCGAATTACGTGCGCCTTACTTCCAAACTAGTTTATTTTTTAGACTTGTAACTTGTCAAAATATACAATAATTAGAGATGTGCGGTAACCGGTAATTTACCGTCGGTAACGGTAAAAGCCTTTTTACCGCGGTAACGGTAAGATGAATTTACCGAAAAACGAGATTACCGCGGTAACGGTAAACGGATTTACCGGTTACCGCACATCCTTAACAGTAATTTCGTAATGCGTTCAATCTTCTTTATATAGACATTTGAGTGAAAAACTGAAACCTTTTTTCTCCTTTCCTGCTTATATCTACTTCTGTATATGTATTGGAGAAGAAACAGATAAGAAGTGAAACAGAACAAAAAAAAAACACGGCATATGGTTGAACAATAGTTTTGGTTATTGTGAAAATCTAAACGAAGACCTCCTAATAAAAAAATCGCATGTACATTGGTGAACTCGTTGTGCCTTACAACGTAAGCGAGCAGCCTGATTCTAAATATTTAGGTTTCCTAAATTCCTTTTCTCTGGAAAATAATGGTCATATTTTCATATACATATGGACAACGGAATAAACTATTCATATATTCTATAATCCTGCGCGGATCCATTTCCCACTGAAACTCGAGCACACAACAGTACGTAAAAAAATATGAATAAGTACATGAGAAGAACAAATTAAACTTTGCAATATAATGTATACATCATTTATCTATACCTGCGAAATGAAATCGTACGAAGTCGAACTAATCGTTTGTGATAATGATAATAAAATTCGAAAAGTCAAAAAGTTTTAAGAGTCTGTATAAAGTTTCTGCATATGGAAATATAAATTATTTACTTTTACCTATAGAAGTATATTTTTGCTTTATGTATGTTGATATTAATATTAAAAAGTAGGTGAAATTATATTTTTTTCGTCCAGATACTACACACATTAAACGAAATAAAACGATTGCTTTGAGCTGTCAAAATGTTCGAGGGAATATTTTTAATAACCGTACAAGTTTGTAGGATATTTTGACAATTGGGTAATTTGCATCACTTGCTGAGAGAATTGTAACAACATAGTATCTTGTATATTTAAAACATTAACGATATAGAGCATTTCGGTATACAATTGTCTTGTCAAAAAATCAAGTTTTATTCACAAATTTCTTTAATGTTTTCTTCGTAGATTCTGTACCACTTTAAAATATTGCAAAAGACAAACAACAGCGTTTAATTTTCTTAATAAAAAAATGCTAAATTATTCAAAAATAGTTGAGTCTTATGCTTGTTCATAATTGATGCAATTGCTAATAATAACTCATTAGAATTGTTCTTTGTCTTTTCCTTCTATCCCAGAAATGGTAAATTATCTTCCTCATTTATATGAATACAAAATTTTCCTCTTTTACGTTGATGCCATTAAAAACATTATCTGTTGTCTCTTTTGTTTTATTACTTTGATTTTGTTCCAAATTCTGTTCTCAACTCAATAAAACTTCATAGAAAGATGATTTTTCAACATGATGAAGTTCGCATATAGTTAAATGAAAAATTTGATGGATGATGGATGATTAGAGTTAATCAAAGTTCTTCAACACTAGATTTAACATCACTTGATCGCTTTTTATGGGTGTCAACAAAACGAAAGTCAAAGATATTGATAATTTGAAGAACAGAATTGAGAATGAAATCAAAGTAATAAAAATAAAAGACACATTAGATACTGTTTTCAATGGCATTGTAAAAGATTAAAATTTTGTATTGATGTAAATAGTGAGAGTTTTAAATAGGATATGTAAAACATTTTTTTATAAAATAAACTATGGAACATTTTTCTTTCAAATAGAAAAACAAAAGTTCAATTTGGTCAAGAAATGACGAAGATAATATAATGTTTTTTTGCTAGATGAACTCTGAAACATGAGGTAGATCCAGAGAACGGTGATATTAATCTTGCAGTAAGAATTAGATATGCGTCCTATAAATCTAATCCTATTGTTACAACTTTAATTCTTCTAAAAGATATCGTGGTATTTGAAAACAATTACATCTATGGGAACATATACGAACCAGACATAGATGAATAAAGATTATTTTTTTTCTACTTTAAATAAATCGAGGTGTGGTCAAATCGTAGACCGCAATTATTCTTCAGCGTCTTACTAATACAATCTTTCAAACGGCAACCGATTTTCATTTGATTAAACATTCTTTTTAATATGAATAAAAAACTGCGAAGAAGTATTTGTCAGTAGTATAAAAAAACACGCAACAATAACAACAATAAACAAACAATAATAATGTTTTCATTTTGTTGTATTATAGTAGAAAAAGTATAACGAAAATTTGCCTAATTTTTAAACGTTCTCGTCATCATTCTCACTTTTTCACTGATAATTGTTTAATCTTTGTGCGATTCTTCGGTAGGTTTTTCTTCATCATCTTTTTTCTTTTTATCAGATGTATCCCTTTCTGTTAATGTGCTTGCTTTTTTCGTACCAGATACAATATCATCAATTCGTAATAATAAGATAGCTGTCTAAAATAAAATATAAAACAAAAATAAAGTAGCTATTCCAAAGAGATAATTGTACTCTGAATGCATTCGACTTACTTCAATAGCCGTTTTAATTGTTTGCATTTTAACTGCAATTGGTTCCCATATTCCTAATGTTTTCATATCCGCCAATTGTCCCGTTTCACCATCGATTCCCCATGAAAAATTTTCTTCTGATTGTGCGTGTTTTGCTTTTAAAGCTGTCAATTGTTTAATAACATTACCACCACAATTTTGAATGAGTGTTCTTGGTATTATTTCCAACGCTCGTTGAACAGATTTATACGGATATTTTTCAACACCTTTGAAAAAATCGGATTTATCGGTATTGGAACGTTCTTCCAATGATCTAATTAAAAAAAGACAAAAAAAACAATACAGATTGAATTCTTTAAAACCTATTACAATCTAATTAAGATAATTATCATATTGATCATTCAGAAAGCTATCTACTTCAGAGAGGAATGCACACAACCATTTTTGACTAACGATTGCTAGATAAAAGAGATACTTGAAATTTTCAACAAAATCTTGTCTAGATCTTCTGAATATTGGTCGTGGTTAATAGTACTCTCTATACGTTCACGCAATTCGACTGTATAATTAGTTAACCTTTGTAAAGAGCTCGAAACTCAACACTATTTAGTAATTACTTCTTAACTATAGTAATGATGGATGGATAAAGTGAAACACAAAAGTTCAGGGTACTTGTATTTTTGACTCAACACTAGAACAAATTTTAAAAAAGGTTTAAGTAGCTGAAAGGATTTAATAACTCACTCTTATAGAGCAAACATTTTTGAACAAAATGAAACATCTCCTAGATTCGTCAAAATCTTCCTTCAACGAACTGCATTCAATCTACGATCTTCCTGTATGTAAGTTCTTGTTAAGAAGTTGCGAGTTATGGAAGAAGCTTGGGATAGAGGATGGATGTCGTTGTTCAGAACAGTAATGAAAAATTGAAAGAGATTTCTCTCTGGCGTTTTCAAGAAGTTTTGAAAACTTAAACAGGTTGTGAAGTGATATGGTAGTTCTAGATGATATACGCTCAAAATCATACTGAACCATTTTCAGAACAGAAACCGTTTCTCGTTCTTTTCAGAAAAAACAACAGAAAAATGCCTCTCAGACCTTTTGTAGGTTGAATGCAGTTCGCTGAAGGAAGAAGATTGTGACGAATCTAGGAGATATCTCATTTTGTTCAAAAATGTTTGCTTTATAAGAGTGAGTTATTTGAAAAAAGTTTCTAATCAAATCCACAGATGTGGATCTTGAGATCATAGGCTCTATTTTCATCAATAATGATGAAAATTCACATATCACTTCTAAAAGGAAACACTTTCAGCTACTCAAATCTTTTTTAAAATTTGTTCTAGTGTTGAGTCTAAAAAGCAAAAATACAAGTATCTTGAACTTTTGTGTTCCACCTTACTCTTACCTTGAAAGAGCCATTTCAGCTGCACCACCACCAGGTGTTAAGCGTGGTTCTAACATAACATTTCTGGCCACATTCATTGCATCATGAAAATTTCTTTCAATTTCATTTAATACATCTTTACTTGAACCACGTAAAATAATCGTACACGCTTTTGGATTTTTGCATTGTTCAAAAAATGCGTAATATCTAAAAAAACACAAAAAAGTAATTTGCTATCTAATAGTCAAACATGAAAGTAATAAAGATTGACACTTACTCATCACCAATTTTTCTTATTTCAAATAATCCACAACCTGTACCAACATCTTCCTCTTTTAAATCAGCTGTGTCATTCACGATTTGAGCACCGCACGCTCTAGGAAAAAGAACAAAAATTAAAAATATTATTAAAATCCCTACTTCGACCGTAAGATTAATTGTTGGCTCTGTATTGACTGTAAGAACTAGCCTATTGATCTTTATCTTAATGTTTCAAAATTAAGCACAATATAATAGGCTGAGCGTTTACTAACCTTGCAATTCGATTATTATCTGATTTTTTTGCTCGTCGAAGGGCGGATATGCCAGCCGCTGCCAAATAATGAGCAGCAACATCTACAAAATATTAAATTTGAAACAAATTGCTACAGAGAACAAAGAATAGTCTTTACCCGAAATGCCTTTTTCCGTGACAATAACGTCTGGTTTAAGTGCAATTACTTCTTGACACATGGCATGAATATATTCTTCTTCTAATTGCAACATTCGACTATATAGAATGAAGAAAGAAACTCAGTAGATCACAGAATAATAATTTCTGTTGTGAACTCACGTGAAGTCTGGCTCAGCATTAAATTCCAGTGATGTTTGACTTTCGCCTTTTTTATATTCCAATGAACAATCTAATAAAACGATCCGAGGATTCTCAACACGACTAAAATTAACAAAACAAGAAATAAACGACTTACATACTCCAAAGTTTCGATGGAAGTAGACATTGTTAGATATTTATATATAAAAAAACTTAGATATTTTTCTATTATATTCTAACAGATGATATAACTAAATTCGCTACTTCTTTATTCCAGTCGCACCCACCCTCACACTGCTAACTGTTCTAATTTGCAATTGTTTCTTCAGCTTTTTCACAGAACACGTATTATCAACATACTGTTTATTAGCTTAACGCGCAAATGTGCATCACATACCGTTTCATTTTGGGATGTACAACGTCTTTGTTCAACATAGATCCTTTTAATAAATATGAATCTTCTATAGCACCACCTGGGATCTAAACAAAAGAGTTGTACAATGTAAACAATATTCAAACTTTAACAATCATCCGTTTTCTAGATTAAACTACTGTTTGTTGAATCTATATCTTTCACTTTTTAACCACATATGAACAATAATGGGCGATACCAGAATTTTATAATGAATTACTTAACAAATATCTTCTTCATGTGTGCCTATGCTTTTCTACCTAGTTGTGCTCACGACAGTTCTACATTGATTAAAAAAAATTTCATTTCACTTACTTTTTCAAATCTAGCGTAACGTTTAATATCAATTTCTTTTCTTCCATTATCGTCAATCATAACTGTTTGAACAGCATCAAGAGCTATTTGACAGGCTAAATCACTCCTACAAAACAAAAGGAATTTTAAATAAATAAAAACATAAAAACAATTAAATTGAAACATACCATCTTGAAATATATTTAGTACCAATACAACTTTTAATAACATGTAACATTTCATTACGATTATTAATATCAATTGGGGTACTAAAAAACGAAAGTAAACGAAATAGAAAAATTGAGAATAGTGAAAAAGTAAAAAATGTTACCTTGCTTTTATTTTCATATATTCAATACAATCTTCAAGTGCTTTGCGATAGGCACGTATAACGACTGTTGCATGAAGACCCTGTTCTAAAAATGTCTGCGTTTGCGCCAATAATTCTCCAGCTAAAATAAACGAGAGAGAAAGTTTAGCTAATACGATGATTACTTATGCCTTTATACACGACATCTGTTCGTTTTTCGATGAATAGTTCTCTGATATTTCACACTAAGATTGAGTGATAGCCGAAAGTTTACCTTCAGTAACGGTAAAGCATCCTTTACCGAGATATCGATAATATGTATTTGCTGTAGTTTTACCGATAATGTTTTTGTATATTTCCGACAACTATTCCACGTTGGATTATAGTGTCAAAAGCCTTGTACTCAGACTTCTTTGGTCGAAGAAAGTGTTCTTCTGCTCCTACCAAATTATGTCTGTACTATGCGCGAACTTATACTTTAGTATTACGACCTATTTGCTCTAAGAGTATAGATTGTATTTCAGTGGAAGACAACTAATTTAAAACTTCATTTTACAAATTAATTGCAATTTGCTTGAAAAAAGGTGTAATTGAAGTCTCAAGGAATGTTTTGAAACTAAGTTTCTTAAACAAAAAAAGTTCTAATAGCGCACACGGTAGATTTTACAACGTGTTTGAGTATTCATGACAAGAAATCTAAGCATGCTTACCTAAAATGATAACACTTGTTGTTCCATCACCAACTTCTTCATCTTGTGTACGACTTATTTCAATCATTGATTTACCAGCTGGATGTTGAACTTGGATCTAAACAGGTGTATAACGAGTACATGACGTGGTCAGATTCACTTTAGTAACATTTAACCTACTTCACGTAGGATGGCGTTGCCGTCGTTTGTCAAAACTATTCCACCCATAGGATCAAGTACCATCTAAAACAAAAATATATACAAAATTATTGATGTTTTTTAACACAAACAAACGGTATACTCATTACAAGTACATTAAAAAGAAAAGAAACTGAGTTGATTATAGGTAATCTTCAGCAACAGTTCTAGCCATTGCATATTCAAACATTACTTCTTTTCAATCTTGCTGTCGCATAAATAACTACTTATTGAGCAACATTTCTTGTTTGAGTTGACAAATCTCACGTTTGTTCTTTTTCTAACTATTTCCAAATTACATTCGAATATATTTACCTTTAACATTGCCCTTGGTCCCAAGCATGTTCTAATTGTATCACCAATCGTCTAATAGAGAAAAAAATAAATAAACACAATCAGGAATAGTTGACAAAAAATTCACGATTCTACCTTTGCTGCAAAAATATTGCTAAACTGAGCTTTTTTTCCCTGATCACGTTTTGTATTGGAATCTGAACAAATAACGAACGGTATTCATCAGCGAATAGAATCTCATAGATAGCAAAGTACACATACTTAAAACCATGACATTCATTCCTCCGGGTCCAACCATGTTTAAAATGCTTTGCTGTTTGTTCTAATAAAGATCTGTAAAATCTACAAAAAAAAGATAAATCATCTATATTTTTATACACACAACAACGAAAGGCAGCAACAGGCAAATATTCACACAGACATATCCTGTAGACAAATGAGATATCTCCTTATTTACTGCAAAATGCAGCAGCATTACAGTAGATTGACATAATTCAAATTATATCCTATTTTATGAAAAAGTTCGATTACTTCTCATACACTGTCCGGATAAAAAAGAGAAGTACTAATTAACCCAAGCATAAACAATAAGCAAATCACTCAATTTATCTGTTACATTATGAGAAATTTTCACATAAATATTGAAAAAGAAACAAAATATTAAAATATTGCATAGAAAAAAAATGGAATGTGTATCAGTATTTTCATCATTAAAATAAACTTATCGTCGAGTTGGCAACGGATTCATTAACATTTGAACAAGATTCTCGTAAAATACTCGGCCGTCGTTACCCACATTGAGTTCACGTAGCATAAGGTCAACATCTCTATCCGCTAATTTTTCTCCGGTTTGTGTTAATATCCGTCTTAATTCTTTTGAATCGATATAACCGTATCGTTGTTGATCATAACCTTGAAATGCTTGTAATATTTCTTGTGCTGATTTCTCGACTGAACGATGTTCAAGTACGATTTTTAAAAAATCATCAAATTCGACAATATTTGAATCTTTTTTATATTTGTTGAAATATCGCTTTAATTCCACGAGCGTAGGTGCCATTTTTAATGATCGCATGATAAAACACAGCTTGTCGGATGTATCAACATAACCTTGTGGAGCAAATAACTGAAAACATTGACGAAAATTATCAAGTTCTTCTTCGCTAAAATTCTTTGACATAACTGATGTAGAATACTATAATTTTTACAAGATTTTGTGTTATCTGAAGAATAAAAATGAACCATAGTTTATTTCAACAACAAACATTTTTAACAGTAAGCATTTAACTTTTTTTTCTTCGTCTGAAGCATTTCAAAATCCACATTCATATGGGCATCTCATCACAGTTTGATTTCTCGCAAACCCGATTCGTGTGTGAAGAATTTTAAAGATGAAACATAAATCATATTGAAAGAGAATCAAACTGAACAGATGATTTTGAATATTACTTTTCTTATTATGTGAATATGAGTTGTGACATAAACTTCAGAAACAAGAAGAAAAAAACAAATCTATCAAATAAGACAGTCCATACTTCACAAAAATCCATATATTTATTTATTTCATTTACACATAATCATAACCAAGCACACAAACTTAGCGAATTCTTTCCCTAGTTTCATTTGCAGCACTCAGAATTTCCACCAATTAGAAGAATAAAACTATAACAACGAACTGAATAATGGCGTCTCTGGCAGTAGCGACATAAATTATTTAATAATGACAATATATCTCTTTGACCGTTGATACCTGTATGATGTAAAAAAGACTAAAGTATTCTGATTGTGTTCTTTTACTTCTTTAAAGTGACTAACGTAATGTGATGCCATCTGCAGGACTAAAGTTTATGATGTGAAGTAACGAATAAAAGACGTTGACCGTTAACAAGCTGTTCTCATTCTAATTCACTTATCAGGATAAAATAGGCAGTGCTTTATGGTCAAAACAGACGTTTAACTGTATGTACTTGAAACTGAAATTCACATCGATCATTAACACATCATTTTGAACATTCTATATCAGATACATGTATCTAAAAATAGCATCATTATTAATTAAGTATTTTCTTATTTTAATCAAGATGTTTGACCATAACCAACTATAAGAAAGTAATAATGTTTTATGGTATGTTTTGATAATGAGTGAATAAATTAGCGATACAAGTGCGTTCGAACAACAAACTTAAAAAACGATAATGATCAATAATTACGGATAATATTTACATATCATTATTGAAAACTTGCTCAATTCTTCGTATTCAAATGTCAGTTGTACACAAATATATTTGAATGTAACAAATCGACATTAATAAATAAATCTATAATCTCGAAATGGTGATAAGTTCACTTGTCCAACAATAATTAAAATATTAACATTAAATTAATCCTAGCAATCAGTAGTGATGTCAAAAGACATGACTGAGTCGTGGCTACTCTACCTAAATTCATTTTTAATTAAGGCGCAAGAGGAACTCTTAAGACTTATATAACCGGCCAGTAAAAAACAACCGGTTGCTAAGCAACACTCATCAAGTTTATTAGTATTTTATTATTCTCTTTCTCCATTAAACCTGTTGGCTTATTTTTCTCAGAAACGACGGTAGGTACATGAGACACTGGGACTGACTTAAATGAGTGCAGTAGATGTTCTAGTACAGAACCTCCTTTTTTTGCAGTTTTTCTATTATTTTCTGATTTTTTATAAGGAATATATCAAAATCAGTCTAAATATTCGGGATACAGGAGAGCTGCTAGACGTCATTATTGTTAATGTGTCACATGAGCTTTCAGGGGGCTGAGTCGTTGAGATCGTGAAGATTAATCAATTTTTAACAGCATTTTTGACGGAATTTTCTCATTTTCATTTCAGAAAACAATTTCTGCCTCAGAAACAAATTTTTTCTACAATACTCCTAAGTGAAAATTTATTCAGCGCTTAACAAGTTAGGTGAAAGGAAATTGATTTGAAATCGGGTTTCTTTGTGCGATGATGTTTTATGTTCTATGTGTTTCGATCGTTATGTGGCAGAATATTGATGAAATAGGATGTAAAATCAGAGAATTTGGGTATCGCCATGAAATCTACGAGCTATATGTAACGAAACATAGCAGAGTCATGAGCTTTAAATTCATTCAGATATTACCGTAGGTTATATGGAGAAGGTTAGCGTGTTTTCGTCGTTTTGTTAGCTGTTATTTCGAATTTTCGCTTCTGAAATTGGATTTTTCAGCACAGAATTTATTTGAAAAAATACATGCGTCTAATAATGAAGCATATCAGCTGATTCAGTTCTGATTGAATAAACTGGTTTTTTTCATTGATTTTTCGTGATTGGCTTGACTCTCCACTGATAATCGGTCGAGCTGTATTTATATAGCTGTCGTATTGCGCCTTTGACAGTATTCGAGAAGCGTACTTGCGTTCCAATCTAAAATTGTTTTTGTCTTATTATATAAACAAAATGTTTGAATAGTATAAATATGTTAAAAATATAAATACATTTAGTAATCGATATATTTGGTGTACAGCCTAACAGACACACAAAATAATAAAATAGAACACTCAAGTGTATACAGTAGAGTGAATCAAAATGTACTGTACTTATGTGTAAAGTGAAATCCAATCGAGGTGATCTCTGTTCCAAACATTCGATAACTACCGATAATTTAAAGCTTAAACTGACTTAAACTGTTGTTCTTCAAATAAAATACGATCCGTATATGATGGACGAATGGTTATACTGAAGAATTATTCAGACATGATATAAATTCTATTCAGTAATATAAATCTGTTAGAAATATATCGTTTTTTTCTGTATGGTAAACAGTGATATCATATTTAAATTTATATGTTGAAGCAAAAGTAATATTTTCTCTTTGTAGTCAGTTAAATATATCGTATGTTGAATTGGGCTCGTTTTTCTCAAATCATACAACTAGAATAACAGAAAAAACAATATCTATTCAAAATATAAAGAAAAAAATTATAGAAAAACCCTTTCCCTTTGATTTTTTTTCCAACCCGAGAACAAAAAGTATAGTTTTCGAAAGTGATTTGGGTAACTAACAGACTTTTCTATCAGGAGAGATAAACATGAAAGGCTCATTAAAATTGTTGAAAAATGATGTTCTAGAAACCTAACTATAAAAAGTCAAGTTATGTACTCCGGATCAGGAGTTTTTTCCGACAGCTTCATCGTGTAGGAATCGAAGTGCTTTAAACAATCAAACCAAGAGAAATTGACTATTGAATTGACTTATTAAAAAATCAAATATCTATCCAGGACTCAGTAAATTAAAAAAGAGAAATAAACCACACTCATCAAAAAAGAATCAATCTAAAAGACTTGCCGGACTTGAAATGGACTCGAGACTCGGACTCGGTTCTTAATGTTAAGGACTCGGACTCGCCCATACCTATTCCAGAACATCATTTTTCAGCAGTTTTAATGAGACTTTTATGTTTTTTATGTTCTTCTCTTTCTTTCCTGTAATAAATATTTTCTACACATTTCTCCATCGATTTAGGCAAGAACCAAATTTTTATGACGAAACAGGAACAGTCAATGGATCATCCGACAAAATATCGAAATCGAAATACAAATAAGAGCAGTTTATAGGCATTGAAGAAAGACAACCGTAGAATCTCAAATAGTATCTGAATTATCTACGGTGAAACTTTAGGCTCGATCTGATCTTTAGCCTAGATATAACAATCTGGGTCTCTCGAAAACCCATAGACGATTATGTGAGACGATTCTGGGCAAAAATACATCGATATTTTTCTCGATTGCATATTCAAATGATAAGCATTCTAGCTGAACTGGACATTGGGCCGTATATTGATCAACAAGGTCAAAAAAGAGGGAGCGTGATACCCTTCGTCAATAAATATTTCGACTAGATTTTGAACTGATTCAATGAAATTTGTTTGCTGAATATTTGATTTCTATTTATCAAATTACTACATCTCATTAATAGTTCTGTGTTGAAGATTTATTTCATTATTAGTTCTCATTCTGTAATCTAGAAAAATAAAATAGATTTGGTTGACTTTTACAACTAAATTTTCAATCTGACTCGTAATACATAATATTCACCCATTTATAAAAAATCAATCAATATTTAGTGTTACTCATTAATTAAATTTGGTATAGATTTTATAACAAGTCCGCACTAAAGCTCTAGAATACAGGGTTTTTGCATAGCTTTAGAATGTAATATTAATCAGACAATCGTCTCAAAATTGAAACAATAGAGTAAGATTAGTACAGTATATTATTTTGAGATCGACATTTTATTTCATTTAATAGTGTAGATTTAGTCCAATGCTAAGATGTAATTTTATATCTTAGTGTGGCTTCTTGTCCATTTGCTTGACCAATAAATGGAACAAAACCTAATTGTGGTCCTTGATATTCTGCTTCGCCTTCTGCTTTTGATCCGACAAATTTTCCTGTATATTTGGCACCATCCGTCCATGAATATGTGCCTTGTCCTTGAAAATAATTATCAACAAATTCACCATCATATTGAGAGCCATCATCATGTGTCAATAGTCCTCGACCGTTCATCAAATCATTTCTCCATTGTCCATCATATACTAAACCATCTTGTCCGATATGTTTTCCTAGAAAAAAAAAATAATTATGATTATTCGGATTGGTTACAGAATAAAATTGATAAGACTCTTCTCTATGCATTTACGTTTGTGATTTTTTTCTTAGTTAAATACTACTTTCAAAAGTTAAGTATCTTTTTGATCAAATCCTGACTTCAGAAATTTCGAAGCTATATTATACCTTGTCCTTGTCGTTGTATTTTTCCTTGTTCTGTGACAATATATTCTCCATCATATTTATCACCATTTGGAAAGACAAATATTCCCCGACGAGATTGAGATTGTGGTGTTGCTCGATTTTCAAAATTATTTTGAGAATTATTAGCGTATTCGTTTGTTGTCATTACACATAGAAACCCCGTGACAAATAATTATAGACAAATGTGTGCGTGTGTATGTGTCTATTCCTCCACTGTTTTATTTTTCATGTTATTTTTCCTTTCCTAATCAAAATAAGAATTTTTTTTCTTCTTCGCTTTTCTCTTCTGTCGATTGTCCTGGTAACTACAAGTTTTTAGATTTTTTTAACATTAACAGTATAAACATATTGAACTTTAAAGTGATACCTGAGAATATGTTAACATTTTTAAAAATTATTGCTGATTAGAAAGCTTAAAGCAATAAAAATGAAATCATAGAATGTTAGACTATTTAAAAAACATTATCTATATATGACTTTTCTCTCTGATCTCATTTGCAGAAAATTTGTATATCTGACCGTGAACTTATACTGATTCACTAACACGATTCATTGTATGAAAAATGTTTAGTATTTACGAAATGATTAGGATCATGTTTTACTATTTTGACTTTATAAAGTCAATGATAATATTCATTTAAAGATATGATACTGTATAGATTATATTTGGTAACTGAAGTAAACTATTTCTAAAATTGAGTTGTTTATTGCAGAATCACAGAGGTTATACTTCCTATTTGTATGAGTATGAATGCAGATTGCCTAGGACAACTTGATATGTTTGTTAAATATACTAAAACATTCTGATAACTCGAAACACTTCAAATCTCTTCTTTGTTCTACGTTCTTCTATCTACACAGACTAAATGAGAGTGAAGGTTATGCAATTGCTTAAAATATTATTTTCCATTGCCATCATCATTATCATACAGTTGATGTCTAATCGACAACAAATATAGCATCACTTCTATTATTAAGTTTAGTCGAACGGTGATCAAAACACTATCAGAGGATATGAGAATCAGTAATCATCACGTTTTATATACATCTTCAACACAATTGATGTTTGTGTAGACAACTGAATAAATTTTTTCTTATATTTGTTACTCTCGTGGATGTCCGTTATACGCTATTAGGAAAAGTTATTATACATAGTTTCCTAGGACATCAAAAGCGGTGAAATTAATTGTTTACTAAATATCTATCGATATTTAGTAGACAATTAATCTCATCCAGTGCCTATTAATGGAGACTTTTAGGCCATTAAGACAATTTTGTGACCGTTTTGAGACACTTAGAGTGGACAGGTACTAGTGCCTAAAAGTAGCAGCGATCAACAAATCAACGTTTTACGATGTTCGTTTTCAGCCTATTTTTCACAGTTACCAACCTATTTTCCGATGTTTGCTAAAGTCAGCTTCTTTCTGAGTGATAACTACAAGTAGATTTTTCAATTCAAACAAATTTGAGTATTTCACTATATTTTTATTGACATATTGTTTGTTCAAACGATGTGTTAACGGTCGATGGGAATTTCAGTTTCAAGCACATACCGTTAAATGTCTGTTTTTTGACCGTGATACACGGTAAAGTAACGAATAAAAGACGGTGACTGTTAACGCTGATTTTGAACAGTTTTTCGCTGATTAAAAGTCAATTTTTTAGTCCTGCAGTAGTATTGATTGCGGTGCCGTCTGCTCTTTTGACGTTAGATAAGCTGCTGTTTGATGCTTGCCATCTATCCCGTTTACAAAGGCCTACGTCGTTCTTAGTCGGTTTCAGGCGACTGCTTTCTTCAGCTGTTCGAGTTTGCCTTCCAGGAATTGAACTTCGTCATTCTCATAAGACCTGTCGAGCAGATCTTCGAGTTAGTGCCAACGGTTTTTGGTCGCCACGTTTGGATTTTGCTTGTCTGTGGTCTTCGCCTTGTTGCTCTTTTTTAAGAGATCAGCTGTGTTGGTTGAGACCTAGTTCTTTGTTTCTTCCACTTTAATTTCTCGACTAGATTGGTTACTTTGTCTTCTACGCTCTTTTCGAAGTTGTCATACTTCGCTTGAATATCAGTGTCCTGGTTGTCAGTGAGCAGAATTTCGTAACGATTTTGAACTTCGATGTTGAATTGGGCTTGCCCTAGAGAATGATTCTTATGTAAGAATCTTACCAGAAACGTATAAGTCTTTTATCAGTATCTTATAAAATTCTTATAAGCGTCTTACCAGTTTCTTATATAAGATTGTTTAAAATTTCCCATAAACAGTCGTAAATGTCCTACGAATACGACTTAGTCATGAGAATAAATGACCAGTATGGCACTTACTAGCCCGAAAAGATCTGAGAGCAAGTAGAAACAACTTAATCATAACAGAAATCGTAAAAGCCAAATCTGTTAAATTCTTCTTAAGAGCCTCTTATGAAAATTTTATCAGATTCTTATAAGACACTTACGACTGCCGATGGGAAATCTTAAACAATCTTATAAGAAACTGATAAGAACCCAGTTTTACCAAAAATTTTTTGTCTAGGGTGTAGAGTGGAGTTTCCTTTGGGTTCGCTCGAATCAAACGCCAAGCACTTACATTTGCTGTCTTTGGGAGCTCGGAGGCTGATTTGCACCGTTTGATGGTCAGAACTTAGTTCGACTGAATTGTATGCTCGCACGTTTCTGATAGAGTTGAGCTACTTCCCATGGATTAGGATGTGATCGAGCTGCGCTTTAGCTTGGCCATTTGCGTGTAGCCAGGTCCAAGCTTTTGATTTTGGCTGTGAAAAGCGCGTTTATGTTGAACGCATGTTGCAGGCTTCCCAGTGGTGGACTAGACGGCTGTCGTTGTTGTTGGTTGTATCGTGATACTTGTATCTGTCAAGTGCATATGGGTTGTCGAATGACTGTCTCACCTAATCTTGCATTTAGATTGCCAACAATGATTAGGACATGGTGGACATTGTGGTGCATTTTTGCAGATCTTCATAGAAGGCGTCTTTCTTCGTGTTGCTTTTATCTTCCGTTGGTACATAGATAGTTATTAGGGTTGTTGTTGAGTTGCCTTTAAAGTGTGCAGTCATTTTAGATATCATCTCGGATGAGCAGGAGAGTTTGACTAGTCTGTGACTTGTGAACAGTCCGATGCCGCCTTGTCTTTCTGCTGTCGTTGAGGAGTATTCGAAGCGTCGCGTTGTGTCGTCCAGAACTTCGAGGTGTATACTAACTTGTTCTTGTGTTTGCCAGCGATATTCTTGGACACCAAACAGATCAGTATTGTTTTTGACGCATCCGGAGATGAGCTGATATAGTTTGCCAGGATGTCTGAGAGTGCGCACGTTGTTGATGGATATGATGGCTTTATGGTGTGCCGGCGAGGCTTTATTTTCTGTTTGATTTGCCACTGCATTATCGAGGACAAGTGACTGCCCTTTCATATGCTTGAATTTGGTTGAGTGGATTAGGTGCGAAAAGACATCAAGTTATCATATATGCTGATTGTTTTCTCCACTTTCTGTCTGGAAGTTTAAATGAAACCGATTGTCTAATATTATTCAGAAATGAAAGAAAATCGTTATCTGAATTCTGAGTATAATGATCACTTTAATTTTTCATGTATACGTATCTAGTATGATATTCTCCACAATAAGATCAATGATTGATACAAAGTTAATCTAGCAGTTTACACCTGTTTATCATGAATTTGTATCAACTTGTGGTTAAATCTCATTTTAGGGATGGGCGAGTCATCACTCTTTTTACTCTAAGTACAGTCCGAGTCTTATAAAAAACTCATCCATCTCTGTCTCATATCATATGTAATTATCAGATTTCATTCATCCACTCTATTGGTTACTGATGCAATGCGTAATGTGTATTGCTGGTGATTTAGTTAATCGAAGACAATTTTCAGGTTGTTGCTAATTGATTTCAGTATGACAAACTAGATTACCTTTATTCTTCGATCAATTGCTAAATTATTATTAATAATTGGTTAAACAAAATAAATGTTTAATAGTATCTTTTTATCTTGCAATTTAGATATTTATGTAGTTTCGGATTAGACACTTGCGGTCAATTTCGAAATACTAAAGAATAAATCTGTCCAGTTAAAAAATGGCAAAAAATAGTTTATCCATGGATTATACACAACAGATCGGTATAACAAACAAACACATCTTTTCTTTGAACGAGCTTGTTTTTTCAGATAACAGAGAAACAAAAATATATAGTTAGTAGGAAGTGAGAGAAATTAAACACAATAAAAAGAAAATTTTATTGTACGTACAAATAACAACAAGAGTACAAAACATACTTAGGAAAAATAGAGAAATAGGATTAATAGGTGTATGGTATTTTGTATCAATGTCGACTAGATAAATTACTAAAAATATACTGTTTTTTAATATAATAATTATATTTCAATATGTTTTTAGGTTAAAAACGAGGTTGTTTCTAGTAAGGACTGCTGATGAGGTAAATCCAACACTAATAAGTAGCTGATTGGGCAAAACCAAAGAGTATTACAAATAATAAACTGAAAGTTCATTCATATCTCGATCGGATAGACGATTATTTCACCCTATCGACTAAACATTTAGTTTAAGAGTCTTAGAATACAGTTTGAAAAGAGGAAAATTAACCTAACCGAGAGATACTGTGATGGTTGAAAAATAATATTATGTATATACCAAACAATTACAACGACAACGTTTAAAGAAGAACTACAGGATCTGATTACGCTAGTAAAAATAAAGTAAAATAAACAAACGAACAAATCTTCTCGTGACAATAATTGAAACCAAAATAGAAATAAAATAAAATAGAATAATATTGCACAAACATTGTTTGTTCGCTAAAATGAAGTAGTAAAAACGCATCGGAATTTTAATTTTTCGTATTTAATTTTGGAATGATTGAACATTTTTATATGGGTAATACTATCAACTTATGATGGTTTACCATCTTCTGGATCTTTTAATGAATGCCATTGAGCTATTGGTCGTCGAGGTGATGCTAACATATCACTCCAATGGCGAAGCTCAGTACCGGCTGCATTACAACCCAAAATAACTTTACCTAGAACAATGTGAAACAACAATAAGAATTAGAATATGATTTTTAGATTTGATAGTAAATGTAATCAAATAAATTGTGAAACTATCGTTTTAGATAGTAAATGTAATATTTTACCTATTGGTTCAGATGTTCCAATTCTATCATAATCAACGACTGTTATTGCCAGTTGTACTTTCTACAATAACAAAACAATATCCATTATAGGACACATATGACATTTCTGATCAAATCATAAAAATCTAATTGTTATACCTGTATCTGTTCAAATGGTACTTCAAACGAAAATGACTCATTGTAATATGGATTTAGTGTGCATTTCTTAATCGATGTTTTCTTCTTTTTCAATCGTTTACCATTCATCATTAACGATAATTTTACGTAAGGATCTAAAATATGAAAATGGAAAACTCCATTATCATAAACTGTCTAGATACTTATCATTAACTCAAATATCATCAAATAGTAGAAAAGCAGGAATATGAGTGAATATTTTAGAAATATATTTGATGAGCGTTTTGTTTGTAAATAGAAAATTTTCATTGAAAATAACCATCAAGCAACATTATTTATCGTGTCACTATTTTAGAGCATCTTCTTCGCATGATTTCAATTTCAATTGAAAATAGAAATAGATATCGAGCTTATTCTCCTTCTATCATAAATGTGTGACGTTATTTTTCGTTATCAAACGCATCAAAAACACTTAATGGTTATTTGAAACAGTTTCTAGCTGGCATTGGAGCTGTAACTGTACCTGATAATCCACCAACATCCATTTTTTTCAAATTTTTAGCTTCTAATATGGTTACTGTCAATTTTCCAGCTGTTGGTACATAACGTAAAGAAAAACATATGTCACCAAGTTTATTTTCCTAAAAAATAGATGGTATGTGAAAGTGGATATTGAAAAATTTTTAAAATATTCTTACTGCTTCTCCCTCTCCAGGAGGTGGAGATAAATCTCTTAATTCTCGAATAACTTTTCCCAAGTCTACAGAATTCAATGGTATATGAAGCTCGCCAATTTGATCATGTCGAGAAAATCGATCAAAATCATAAACAGCAAATACAAGTGTTCTACCACCAATTTCACCATATGGTAAGTTCTTAAAAGAAAGAAAAGAGAAAAAAATATATAATTAGAGAAATTATGCGGAAATAAAACTGTACAATTATATACCTTGAATATAAATGTTTCATTGAATATTGGATTTAATGTTTTTCTATAAACTTTGGTTTCAAATTTTTTCTTTTTATCCGGTAATACATAGAGTTTAACATAAGGATCAGATGTACCACCCATGTCCATCGCTGGTAGTTCTTGGGCTTGAATTACTTCGACTTTAAGCTAAAATAAACGATAGAAAAAAACATTCACACTCAATAAGTTATTTTAAATGACAAACAATTTAGTATTACCTCTTGCTTTTGAAAATCATAATCTAATGAATATTCCAATTTTCCTAAATTTGGTGTTTCTGATTTTTTTGATTCGGCATCTTCGTTATCTTCCATATTCGGTGTTAGTTCTTCAATATCCGGTTGAACCTTATCAATGATAATATATGCTTCAGTAGATTCATCGTCATCATATCCTCGTGTGCTGTACATGTTTTACTCTTTACCTTTTCTTTATGTAATGAAAATGTTTTTACTGCTCCTAAATCTATTCCTTTCCCACCTTTGACACCTTTCTTTTTCCAACATTTTCTACACATACGTTTTATACAGCATACAATACATATACATATTGTTAGAATAATGAACACGGCGATTAATACCGTCGCCCATGGGGGAACTAAAACAAAACAATCAAATTTGAAAATAAATTAGCTAATTTATAGAAGTGTGCAGATGATGAAAATGATAAACATCCTGGAATACGATTTTCTTTTAATCCTCTCACTTCCTATCTTCAACAACTAAATCTCGTAGAAGAGAATAAACACACTGCACTTCGTTTTTTACCGATATTTCACTTATGATATGATGTTGTAGAAAGATATAAAAAGTCACAAAATAGTATAAAACACGTTCTGCACGATTCCTATATAGTTATTCGAATCTATGGCTATATATAGGGAGAAAACCGTGGAGTCTTATAGATCTTGTACTTTATGAAAGTGATAAGATTTATACTAATTCAAATTCGAACATTTATAGATCAAAACTATTACATCTCAGTATAGTTTCAAGTATTAAATTCTTGTCTAATATTTCGAAAACAGTACATTTTTCTTTAAAAATTATATGAACTATCCGGTCGGGAAATGTTATTCATGAAAAACAAGAGATTTTATTCAGAACTGAAAATAATTCACCAGCACTTCTCGAATTAATCTGTCACGTGTTGTAATTCCGTGGGCGATGGGTTCTAATCCATTGGTTGTTGAAGAAGAAAAAAAAAACGTAATGAGCTACAACTGATGTAAAGGTCCTCGTCAAAAAGCGACTGCTTGACAGAAATATAAAGGGATAAAACCTTCTACCTTAGCTCATTTTGTAGAAAAATGTTTGCCTTATGACACCACACCCAATTATTAGAAAAATTTTAGAATACGTAGGTTTCATACGGTTTGTTTCAGAATAAAGGTGAAATATACTGATTATGAGCGATACATGCGTATTTGTAACTTTATCCATTTTCGCTTTAGACATAAAAATACTCGTTTGACATACGTTTTCCTCCTAGTGATAAAACTTTGTCTGGTATTCCTAATACTCTTTTGTCTGGTGATAAATACGTATTGTCATAAATCGCTAGTCTTGTTGTGTTATTCAATACGTTTAATATTCTTCTGTCTGGTTGTCCCATTATTTTAGTTTGAATCTTATCATCATTATTTGAAGTTGGTAATATATTTATTTTTATTTTAAAAAGACATTTAGTAATAATGTGTAATATTTGTCTACATCTCTTTCCTCTCAATGAACGTAGATACCGAAAACATACATACACACACACACACACACACACACGCACACACACCAATGTGCACAAACACTCACGCAGCAGAAAAAGAAAGATTTTTTTATGTGTATACGTGAGAAATATGTATAAGAAGGTGAAAAAAAAAAAGCCGAGTTATTACATACAGAACAGTAACAAAAAATTTTTTTCCTGTACACTTTTTCTATTCTGTATGTACAGTTATATTTATTTTTTTTATGTTAAAAAAGGAGATAGTTTTTTTTTCTTACTCATTCTGTGGAAGACAAGTTGATTACGAAAAAAAGAAAGACAAATACAAAAGTATCGAATAAAAGACAACAAAATCTGGGCACTGTTGTTTTCACCTACGTGATTAGTCGATATTGTGTCTCTTTAAGAATAATAAGATCAAAATCAATTGCTTTCATGAATACTAGACAAGGATTATCATATATTTAATGCATTCTATACAAGTACTTCTAACAGATGTTTATCTAATTTTACAGTTTTCTTCTTAAGTATCAATATAAAAGAAGTATTTTATACTAAGTTTGTTTTGTTGAATCTGATCTTTTATGTTCTTGAAACATCAGCACACGATGTACCCTATTTAGATTTTGCTCGACTTACTATACAAATTTATGATGATTATTAAATTAATTTTACTGTTCACAGATTATAATGAGTATATTATAAAGGAATAAAATACTTTCGTAGTAGAACTCATACATCAGTATATTGAGAATACACAAATATTTTGCATGATACTCTCAATCTTTCGTTGGAGTTGGGGTATTCTGACATTTTCAGATAAAAAGACACCTATCATAATAAGTGCATTCTATTTGGGTCCTTTTCTCCTTTCACTTTATGTTATATTTACTCGATCACCTTCTGATAACTGAACTACATATTCGTTTATTTATGCTATGGTCAAACATTTCAAGCAATAATTTTTATTGTATTTTAAATGATCATTTAGCGTCATTACAAAAATATAATTCTAAAACTAGAGGCCATCTATACTGTGCAAAGCTAGGAAAACTGACTGAGTGCAATTTGTAATGAGCCTGTCATTCACTCTATCAATTTGAATGACCTTCATACTTATAGAAGGTCATCATTGCTTCTAAAAATTTACGTTTTTCACAGTAGAACACCCCCAATTTTTTTATAAAGTAGCGTCTCAAAAATTGTACACGCTTCTTTTTTCTCCTGTCTCAAGGATCACTCGTACTTCTAAATATAGAACAAGAGAAAAAAAGGCTTTGGAGGTTTTATCAGTGGATATGAATAGTTTGTTGACTGATGAACAAAAAGAAAATCTTTGTTCAATATTAACGTCGTTAATGGTATTATCAAAGTGTTACTATAAGAACTGCAAAGTGATTTATCTATTTGACATTTTGTTTTGTCTTTGTTAAACAAAAAATGTCGTTGTTGTATTTTGGATCTCAGACAAAAAGCGAGTAGAAAACACAGTTCGTGCTTGTTTCAAATATAAAAACTAGTTGTTGACACATTGATGATGAAAAATATATTCATTTCATTAAATTTAATAATACGAGAAGTTAAACTATATATATCTGAACAACGTGACTTTAGATTGTTCTACTTTCGAACTATCTTATTTTTAATGAACGAAAATGAATAAATCAAAAGAAAATAGCCAAAAATAGCATGTGTCTAATTAGTAAATGGTTCTATATATATCTATATAGAATATCCTTATACCAATCGAACTCCATATATGCTGTCGCGTGACTATAATCGAAGTTAATTGTCTATTAAGAAAAAAACAAAAGAATTTTTATAAAATATACTCCATTTTATAGACTTTTTTTTTTATAAATTATAAAAATAGCTCCAGATATGTTATCCACCGCTATTCTTCTTTTGACTGATCATCTTCTGAAATCTTGATAATTAAGAATTACTCTCATTTCGTCCTATTATTTTTAATTAACTCTCGTTTCGCCCCCTCTCATTTCGTTCCCTCTCATTTGATCCCAATACCATATCGTCCGTTATATTTTCTATTATTATATTTATTTTATAACTATCTATTTCTTGTTCTATCAATTGTATACTAATCAATATTACTATAATTAATTAAAACCGTATAAGTTTCATTTACTATTTTATTTACAAGTTACATAAAACAAGTAGTTTTATAGTATTAACGCATTTGCCACATTTAATTGTAAGTTCAGTTCTAGACAAAGCACCATTCTCATATCTTTTAAAATATTTTTTTCAATTTATTATCATAATTATCATTGATTTTCTTACGTTTTACTGTTTTTGCTAATGATTCTGTTTAACGTGTATGATTATATTCATTCTCTTACTTCAATGTGTCGACGAACTCATAAGTATGTGAATGGATACACATCAAAATGTTATTTTAATCTATTGTGAAAACCGTCACTGTAAAACTATGAAAAACTTGTACTTTAAAACTACCTGTTTTAGGTAACTTGTAAAATGAAACTTATGTGGTATTAATTAATTATAGTAATATTGATTAGTATACAATTGATAGAACAAGAAATAGATAGTTATAAAATAACAATAATAGAAAATATAAGGGATAAAACGATAATGGGATGAAATGCGAGAGGACGAAATGAGAGGGGACAAAATGAGAGTTAATTAAAAATAAGAGGACGGAACGAGAGTAATTCTTGATCATCAAGATTTCGGAAGATGATCAGTCAGAAGAAGAATAGGGGGACAAAGCGACAGTTAATTTAAAAAAATGGGACAAAACACAAGGATGCCATAATTAGAAATATCTGAGGACAAGTGTGATTGATGGGAAAGCGAAAATTATAAAAAGAAAGATATTTTTTCTTTGATAAAAAGCAATACGCGTCTTTATCTTTCACTAAGTAGGCTTAATGATTGACAAGCAAGGTATTGTTTTATGCAAAAATATGTGACATACCATCCGATCAAAAAATTGTAAATTTATGTTCAATCAAAATCGATTGTCGAGTGCTCTTCTCCATAGTCGATTATTTTGTACACAATAACTTTGGTATCAGGGTACTTTAGAAAAAAGTTTTCTTCTGATCTTGATCAATTTTTTTTCAGAAAGTTACTGCATAGGAAGGACCAAGGACAAAATGATGTGGACAATTTTTTCTAGAGTATCAGAATTATCGCATACCGAATAATCGACTATAGAAAAGACCAATCTGCAATCGATTTTCATCCAATAAACTTTTAAAATTTTTCGTTTTCTGGTGATATCCTGAGTTTGTGAGACTAACGAAGGAAGGTCTCCAAGTAATTCACGCTGTTTTTGGTTGTTATTTCGCCCACATATAGAGGATATTATTCTAAGAAAAAGTCTAAGAGGATTTGTGCTGATGCGGTTTCTTTCAATAGTTATGAACTTTTTTCATTCCCCATAGACTGAGTGAGTGTGTCACTAAATTCGTGTAACTCAGTCACTAAAAGATTTCAAGGACTAATTTTTTTTCTTTTTATAGCTCTAGCCGTTTATTATTTTCAACACAAATTTGCGACCTTGAAATTTAAATTAGAATGAGTAATTGAATTTCTGCTCTATGACTTCAGTGTGCTTTTATAAAAAATCCATTTTTTTAATATCTTAAAGGATCTTTGGAAGCCTTTTAGAATATTATTCTCTAGCATATTGTTTCTCTCTTTTTTATTCTTGAAAGAGAATATAAAGGAATCACGCAAAAATAGGTGGCTGATTTAGTTCGTCACATGAGTGTGTTTTCCTTCTTTTTTTCTCATAAAAGCATCCTACCCTCTACTTGCTGAAGTCATAGAGCAGAAATTCGATTATTCATTCTAATTTAAAGTTCAAGGTCGCAAATTTTGTGTTGAAAATAATAAACGACTAGAGCTATAAAAAGAAAAAAAATTAGTCCTTGAAATCTTTTAGTGACTGAGTTACACGAATTTTAGTGACACACTCACTCAGTCTATGGGGAATGAAAAAAGTTCATAACTATTGAAAGAAACCGCATCAGCACAAATCCTCTTAAACTTTTTCTTAGAATAATATCCTCTATATGTGAGCGAAATAACAACCAAAAACAGCGTGAATCAGTTGGGCACCTTCCCTCGTAGGAAGAGACTGCAACATAAACGACATATCCAATCCAATAAACGCAAAATAATGTTCCCTTCATTTTTGAAAGAAGTCAAACTTGTGGCACGTATTACTCTGTAATGGAGATAAAAGCAAAAATATAAACGTAAATTCATCCACATCCTCCACTTTATTAGATCTTTTTCACAATTAACCCTTATCTACGTCATTAACATATGATGCAAAAGTAATGACAATAATGTCAAACCCTGTTAGATCGTATTGCCAACTTCTAAACCAAACAAACTTTTTTTTTTGTTGGAAAGAGCAAAGTCTGAACTACAAGTTTGTCCTTCATGTATCAAACTTGAACAAAAAATACACAAACAAGTAGGAAATCAAAAACTCTATCAATATCAACATTGGCAAAAGTTTTAGATTCGTTCTTGACTCTTTAATCAAAAACGTTTTAAACATGAATTTTTTTTGTAAAATCGAGTCTTTTGCAAAACGATCATTTTGCAAGAAAATTAGCCATCATCTTCAGAAATCATGCATGAACAACTCACTTCTTTTTGCGTTATTTATTAGAAATATGTCCGATCGTGGAAATTTTGAAAAAAAAATAATTCAAAGAAGATTTTATATTGTTGCAAAACGGCAAGGTAGTAAGAACGACCAACTTATTTAGTGTCTGTCAGAAAAAGCTGTATTTTGATACAAAAATCAAGAGTAAATTTAACTTCCAATATACCATTGGAAAGAGCACTCTTTATGTTACAAAAATCATTATTTAATGTGTTTTCCCGTTTCTCTTCTGATGAAAAAAAATAGAGAATGATGTTGCTTCATAGCGAATTTGCAAGGACTTTTTCAGAGATGTTTGGTTTTTGACTTTTCCTCTTTCTCAGATTCGTTCTGAAAAAATATGTCTGGTACAAAACTTGTAGTTCAGACTTTGCTCTTTCCAACAAAAAAAAAAAAAGTTTGATTGATTTAGAAGTCGGCAATATGATCTAACAGAGTTTGACATTATTGTTATTATTTTTACACCATCTGTTAAATCACAATTTTGCTCGAAACGTTTAATCACGGAATGAATAAACGAATATCGCATGACATTTTAAATTCAAGCCATGTACAATGTACTATAACCATCTCATTTCTTTTTCATAACCATTTTAATTTACTAACTAAAATGTATCTTATTGTAGCATCCATGTGTGTAATAGCAACATCTGGAAATTTATCTCGCAATACTTAGAAATATTTTAATGGTACAATTTTCTCAAATAAATAAAGCTTAACTAATTACATTTTGTATGTCACGATTCGCCATTACTAAGATTTCATTAATAATAAATAGACATTTTGAATTAAAGTTTTTATAATTGAACGATGTCGGCAAAGATCTCAGATAATTTATTATTAGTACTAATTGATAATTGATTAGAATAAAAAAAAAATAATAGATAGATTAAGTCCCTAAATATAATTTTTCTCCCAATATTTTCTCTATAAAACTATTCTTTTAGTTCTTATATGTGAGAAATTTATTTTTCTATATAAATTAATTAAATGTATATGTCAGTCATGTTAAATATAAATTAGATTTTTTTCTCTTATTTATCGTACAGGACATTGTCTCTAGCAAGGTAAGAATATCGTAAATAAATAAAATTTAAATTTTATATTAATAAATGACATTAAACAGTAATATGATTATGTCTTGAACAATATATTCAAATACTATTCTAATGTTTTAAGACATATGTTTGAAACGTCAAGATAGAATAGACTAAATTACAAAATCGATAAAGGTTCTATACACTAACTCTATGTAATATTGACATTTACTTTCTATTGTATAGTCTAGATCTTAGATAAAAACCTGTACTATTGAAATTTCTATCAACTCTATTAAGATATTTCGAGATGAAAAGTATCTTTCCTTCTTTCTGTGTGTGTGTGTGTGTGTGTGTGTGTCGGACTCTCTTTCTCTCTCTTATTACGAATCTAACATCTACGTGTATATTAGATAATATGATTACTAATAAATTTACTTCTTTATTGAGTACTAATGTATTCTTCAATATATGTATATATATTTAGTGGAGGCGATTATTTCAAGGTTAATAACGACAGAGAAAGAAAGTCAATCTGTAATCCTTATGGAGAATATTAATTATCATTTTTTTTTCTTTCTCTACAATGAATTTATTAATTAAACAATGCAGTCTGGCAAAAACAAGAAAACAATAGGGCAAAAAGATGTTATACATGGAAAAATATCATAGATTATCCAATCATTTGTCCAGAGAACTCAGACAAATTTCTACAAAATATAGAAATTTATGAAGAACTAAAAATCAGTCATTTTTATATAAGATAAATAAAGAATTCATTTTTATCTGTTGGTTTTTGAGTTCTCTAAAAGCTTAAAGAACACGTTTATTTTATTTGTCATATATGCATGTTCAAAAACACTTCAATAACATCTATCTGTTCTTTTTATTAATAATTTTGAGAACTAGGCGTAGATTCAACGTGATGCGTGGGATTTTATAGAACATAACAGAACGATTCTAATTCTTTTCTCTCTTTTTCTCTCTTATATGATTAATAACTAAACATACTTGGTAATTTTTTTGCTAATTTCAATGCTTCTTGTGCATGTTGTTTTGCTTTATCAAATTGATTATCTGTTGATGTTACCACTGTTGTTGAAAATGTCGTTAAGTCAGATTCCGTTGGGTCATCATAATAATCGCCGGCCTCATCAACACCGCCAGACGATTTTTCATCATTCGGTGCTACTTCACGTCTAAAGCGATATCGAACACCCATTGTTTTTTTTTTGCCTTCTATTTTAATTTATCAATAGACAGTCTAGAAAAAAATGATGAAAACAATAGTATGTAATTCTAGCTCTCGGTAAATAAAATAAAAAAAAAGGGTCTAAAAACTAATTCCATATTATCTTCTTCTTTTTTTTTCTTTTTTTTTTGTTCTTTTCTGCCGATCCTATTGTTATTTGCTAGTTTTTAGAGAAATATCATTATGTGACACCTTAAAAACAATCATACTATTTTGATCAAACACATTCATCATATTCGATTCAAAGAAAAATATTAATTAATAATTGTTAAAAACTAATCGAAAGTTTACTGTACAAATTTTTAAGGTAATTGATCGCTCATAGAAAATTGTCGTGTATCATCCTTTTATCTGAGTAACTTGAATGAACACTATGTTCATTTGCTTTGTATGTAATTAGTCGTGCAAATTTAAAGTCATTCATTTACTATAATCAATAATATTAACAAAATAAAAAGATCGAACTCTATTGTCGACTGACTAGAGTTTAAATCATTCTTTTTTTTTTTTGTTGTTGTTGTCTCATCATAAAGGCGTTAATACCTCTTTATTTGACTACAGATTCAAAACATATTGTCTATCCTATAGTAACAAATATGATTGTAGTAAAGTTTTGTTGTAATAAAGATCTTGATTTCGTACAATATTTTAAATTTTGATGTTTTTGTTTTATCTAAATCTTAGTAAAAGAATTCAAGAGTTTCATTACAACAAGTTTCATAAATAATTGTGATTATTCGATTTTAAAAAAGAAATTTCATAATAAAAAAAAAATCATAGTTCATTTAGAATAACATTATGGTAGAAATTGACATGGTTTTTCTTACCGTTTCTGTTGTTTTAGTAGTATCATTCATTGATTCAATCAAAATTTTTGTTTTGATTACAAATTATAAGCTTCCCCGTTTCGTTTGTTGTTTTCATCTATCATACACATTTCTTTTTTGTCGTCTTATCTACAATAAATGGAATATACAGAATAATAAAGAAACCCGACGAACGTTCATGACAAGGAAAAAAAAATACTGACACGAGTGCGTTCAATTTTTAACTCTCCTTCTTCTTCTTCTTCTTCTTTTTTTTTTTTATTTTTTGTTCACTCGTCCTCGAGTATTAACGGAACACAAGAAAAAGACATTTTTCATGTAAAATAGAGAGTTCCTAGTATTAGGAAATTTATTGTTGAGACAAACAAGAGAATAGCGTTCCAACCTTAATCGCTAATGCAAGTTTTCCAAGAAGGAAAAATGTCGTATAATATTCCATTTCTTTTTTAAACGAAATAAACAAAACAAAAAGTGCTCAAAAAAACGATATTTATAGAACGTATAGAAAAATGATTTCCTTGTTCCACATACACTAGAAGAACAGAAACAAAACTGTAGCCTATGAAAAGACAACGAAGAGAAGAAGAAAAAAAAAACTACAATTAATCGATGAAGATAGGAAACAGCATATCCATAAAAAAAATGGACTCAATTGAAATACGAAAAAATAGAAAAGAAAAGAACTTACACGTAATGAAGACTATATTTTTCTGCTTTTTTTTCCTATACACCAACGCTAAAAAATATACAATTTTAATAACTATATCTGTGGTCAACTTAGCATGACTGATTTCCTGTCTAAGCGAAATCGCTATATTTTTAAGCGCAAATACACGTCTAACTGTGCCATTGTATGCATGTTAACTCATCAATCAATTATGACAAGGCAAAATGAAGAGAAAAAAATATATATAAAAGCGTCACGAGATCGTGCTAAAACAATAAAGAAAATAGACCATATATAATTTTATTTGATACTGCACTAGTTGACAATCAGCACGGTCTGAAAAATTGATTAAACATCCTAGTGATATATCTCGAAAAAGAAATTTGTTCAAAAAAAAAAAATATGTCCTATATTATTTTTTTGAAAAAAGAAACGTCACAACATTGAAGAAAGTAACGTTTCTTATTCCATAAAATTGCTTTTGGCGCTAAATTTACGCTTTTTGTGACAAGAAATTCACTATAGAGAAATGAGTTGTTCTTCAATGAGGTGCGTGTGTCACGGCAACTTCAACTATATAAAAAGGTTAACAACTAGTTAACTGTGTTTCATTTGTATATATTCCAATATACTATGGAAAAAAGAACAATGAAATTTATTTAAAATATAAAATCTTAGAGAATCATTTAAATTGGTTGCTATGTTTTCAAGTACAATAATAATTTATTGGTTGGTTGATTATTCCTATTCATTGTAATTGATGGAATGAGTCTGTCATTTAACAAACTGAGAGTGTTACTAAGAAAGAATGTAAAATATTGGACGCTATTTTAAATATATTAATATTTTGTAGTTGATTTATCTATTGCATTTGAGAATTGGTTACAAAATCTAATTTAAAATTTATATCAATCTAAAATATCAGATTTGAAAGGGCACGAATGTTTTCATAAAATTATTGATAGCAACTGGCAAAACTACTACTTCATTTCGTTGTAAACTTTTTTGATTTTTGTATTAATTTTTAATGCGGTAAGTTTTACTTATAAGCAAGATTTCTATTTGATTTGCCCATGATTATAGAGAAAAATATTATAAATTATACGAGTTGCTCAGATATTATTAAAAATTTATTTTTGGTTTAAGTATTTTTCTAAGAAAGGAAAAAGGTGATAAGATGTCTAATTGATTCAAACCTATGGCGTAAAAAGCGTGAAATATACAGAAATAAGAGTAAAACTGGAAAACAAATGCTTAAAGAATAGAGTAGGTTTTAGAACAGAAAAATAACAGAGAAACGACAATCGAGAAAGTTTTCACTAAACAAAGAAACAAAATGTGGAAGAATTTAATGTTTTATATAGAGTAAAGACGAGTAAATGAATATGTATTTAAGAAGATAATCACGTATAAAGTACCAACTATGTTCAAAATAGATTACACCTCTTAATATTCTGATATGACACAATATACTTTCTTAATCGAAGTTGAATCATATTGCATGTTTACATATGATTAATATACTGTGTTTAATTTAAAATATCATCTAGTTCTGGCTAATAAGATGAGACCTCTGACGAATAATGCCGTGAATAGAATTCATACAATTTGAACATCGATGTATTATGGTTGAATTTTGTAACATTTAATCACTTTTATATAGAGTTGACAAACCTCATTTAGATGTCATACGCATTTTTTACTTTTTTTTCAGTTTTAAGAACAACGAGTTTATTAATCAAATTTTGTATTTTTGTTCAATTTTTTGTCGATGATTTTATTTAATTCATTATCCGGAGAAAAGAACGTATTGTTGGTAAACAACTATAATATATCCAGAGATAACTCTTGAGCAGTTTATTGCAAAGCTAAGTTCATGTGTTCGAATCTCTATAGAAACAAAATTGATTTTCTGTTTTTTGATAGTTTTAGTTTAGAATATTATAACGGAAGATTTTTCCGGTTGTATTCTGAAAATAAAGCTTAAAATAAAATGAAAAATGAAAATAAAGAATAAAGCTTAGATCAAGTCTAAAATGTAGATATTGATGCGATAATTTCAGCCTGTCCAGTTGTTTCATCATCATAATAGTTGTAAAGTATCAGACGGTTATGGAAGAACGGTGCTCATTGTTTACATTAAAAAAAACATGAAATAATTACTGTTACTTTTGCCGAGACAATGTTGTTCATTCTACTTTGCATGACTTTTTTCTTGTTAAAAATATATTTTGTTTCTTATTCGAGAATATCATTCTATCTTTTTCTGTATGAACATCGGTATATCCAAGCAATATGCTTTGTATGCACGAATAACAGACAAAAAGAAGTAATTATATACATACGTATTCAACCATAGTAAAAGGTTTAAATGTTCATGTTTAGTTGAATGGAAATAATGAAAGGACTAGAGGAAGACTACTCTGGTGCTAAAAAAGATAATACTTTAGATAAAAAATGCTTGTTTTGCAATGCATATAACGCACATAGTTATACGTATGTTCAGGGCCGCAAATAGGAGCAAAGCGTTAGGGGGGGTGTAAAAAAGAATTTCTCTTTGAGGTAGTGTGAAATTGATAAAAATAATTTTGTGCGAGGAATAATGGATAAAATAACAACAGCTTTTTCAGTAAGTGTATTAATGCCTCAAAGCGACAGTTTTATTACGATCAAAAAATGGACATATTATAATCTTCGTTTTGAGACCATTATGGGCCGTTAACGACCCATTTTTCTATTGTCTACCATCGTCAGGTTCTTTCTGGCTTCACGAAAATTTCAATTTCAATATTTTTTCATTCTTTGATCCAAGATATCAGCTCAAGTACCGCTCCCAGAGCTAAAGACTATCTCGTCGAGACAAGTTCCCATAACTAGTAAAATCGAAGAAGAGTCTAAGTTTTCTCATTCACTTCATCAAATCATCAATATAAGAAATTGCAAGATTAGTACTCTCTAAAAACAAAAGTACTCTACCGAACCTAAAAAGAGTTTAAACTTTTGCCACTATCTATATATCCTTATAAGGTTTCATACAAACTACGAAACCTCTTAAGGTTTCGTACAGCACCCTAAATTCGTCACTGGAAAAAATTTGTATAAAAACGCAAAAAAAAGTGTTTTCTTAGTGTTCCCAAGCTTTTCCCAGTCACGGATTTAGCTAAGTAAAACAGTATATAGTTTGTACGAAACCTTAAAAAGGTATATAGATGGTTTGGTAGAGTATCTTTTTTTTTAGAGAGGAGAAACACAAAGAAAACCTAAAAAGATTAGTTACCGCTAATAGTCAATCGATTCCGTTTGAAGAAGTTATTTACTACTTTGTACAAAAATTAAGATCACTGCCTCCCTTATATCGCATTGTACGCACTCCAAATAAATTGCACAAACAACTAAGTACGCAATACAAAATAGCTAAATGTTTCAGATTTATGACATGATGTGAGTGTTATTCGACCCTTCTCTATTGTATTGTATTTTCTTTTCTAAACACGCTACAAAACTCGTTTCTTAACCTTGTAAATTTTTTAAGGGTATTGAATTCGTCATACGTAGTGGTTTAATATTGTATGCATTATGTTTGGCTCGTGATCGTATGGCTGAGTGATAGCGTAGCAAAATAGAGACGTATTTCTATGAAATAGTTCCAGGTTTTTTCTATTAACGCTCTCCTTTCGGTAGTGAGAACGTCTTTGATTTAGAATCCTCGAAAGATTTGCCAGTTTGAAGTTGTACGTGATGTTCTTTTTCGTTCATATCTAGGTGGAAATGCGATGAGCCGCAAAGCGGAGCGAACAGTTGTTTGATTGATGATGTTCCTCAATGAGCGCGGCAGACATTCGCGGCAATTGCAACACGAACAAACGATGACAGAACTGCTGGTGTTTCAAGCATACAGATGATCACGGGAATCCAGTTAAGAGGTCGATATCTTCGTGCTCGTTCTTGACATCTGTATCACACTTCACTTTTTTTCTATTCTTGCGATAGCAACCAGTAACACCACTTTGCCCAAAGCAGTACTGTGGGCACGACAAGAATTGAGAAAAATACTGCCCTCACGTCGTCGCTTTCGAGGCTGGTTATCATTTACCACAAATTCTGGTTCCCTGAAGCAATCCCTAAATTATATCCACATTTGTGGATAATTCAACAATTAAGATCAGTTCTGGTTACCAAGAAGAGATTTTAATTTGGGAGTTTTTCAATTTAGGAATTTTTTTAATATAAGATAAACCACATATACAGTAATCCAATACCATTCTAGTACTCATATCATACTAAATACCTGTTATTCATTAGTTTTACAACACAAATCGAAAATTTTACTGTCTATAAGTCAATTCTGATGACCAGAATTGTCTTTTATTTATTCTCTATACTTCCTTACATAAAGTGTGAGCATTGTAAATAAAAGTTTAAAAAAAACGATAAACTCTTCAGAGAAGAGAAGACAAATATTTAACTCACAGTCTCATGATAAAATCTTTGCATCTGGTGGCCAGATCATGGCGTAAGAACACGTAACATTCGAATGAGATTTGTGTTGTAAAACTAATGAATAACAGGTATTTAGTATGATATGAGTACTAGAATGGTATTGGATTGGGAGCGACCAGAACTGACCTTAATTGTTGAATTATCCACAAATGTGGATATAATTTAGGGATTGCTTCAGGGAACCAGAATTTGTGGTAAATGATAGGCATTCTTTTTCGACGCTTTTTTTCTCGTCTCTTATAATCTGATACCGCTTGACTACTGGTTCACCCGTTTGTCATCTGTTTTGTGTAGCGTGCTACTGAGGAGCGGCATACTCACCTGTCTTCCTTGTCTTATTCTTGCTTTCTTTAGCTGGTAAACATACTGCTCAGCATCATATGAATTCATTCGTCTTGATGTGATTGAAAGAGTGCAATCGCAACAATTACGCTACAAGTAATTGGTTCGAAAAGTACGTATCGTGCTTATCGATGATGAACCCTTTGTTCTTCTTAGCGACATTCGAGACACGTTTCAACGTCCTATGGTCCGATTTACCCTCAACGGTGAACCCGTTGGTTTCGCCTTAGACGATATGTATCGACCACTGAAGCCATTCCGTATTCCAGTTACTGCGAACAACAGCAACGATATAATTGACTGTGACGGGGCTGAAAATAGCAAGTACAACAACAACAAAGAAAGAGAAAAAGACCAGATGTTCGCTGGAATTAGAAGAGTTCAAGACAAGCTCGGCTAACATTCATTTCACTTCGCAGAAAATTCTTGCAAATACCGATGTACTGATCAAAAAAAGTCGATGCCATTCTTCGACAAACATTTAGGAAGCTTTAGGAAGCAATGCAACGTCTCTTGAAATACTGAACTTCAAAGCAAACGCAAAGGTGCAGTGCAGATCTTCTGTGACACATCGTGTGTCCATGTTGAAAAGCAATAATACTTCGCCAGCAGAACTCAGGAGTTCATGTGTGCTACACTTCGTGTCCATGTTAAAAGGCAACACCTCTCCCCAGATCGTTGATTCTGACGTCAGGATCCTGGTGGAATCTGCCGGATACAATTCGGCACAATTTGGAACATGCCAAAAGTTGTCAGAATTCGGTAAAATCTGGCAGCAACCGTGCCAGAAATCTTTCCTCTGAATCTGTGCTGAAAGATGTTGGAAAAGATCCAACCGGATTTTTCGAGTTTCAGGCATCGCACTTGGCTGGATTTGGTAGAATGTGGCCAGTTTTGAGGTTAAAAATAGTCTTAAATTTTTCGTTCATTTTCTACTGCTTTTTCTCTCTGTTCATTCGAGAGAGTGGAAGGGTCCACTAGCTAGGACGTGTACAACACGCCCATTGAACAGTGTGAGCGATGACTCACACCGTTAAGAATTTGAGAAGAAAATTTCTCATTTTCCATTTTCTATAGTGTCGTATTCAAAGTGCTTCTGCCGTGAAACAAAACAGTGAATATATTATGTGCACAGAAAAGAAAGAAAAAAAAATAAAGTGTACATGAAATAAATTTGATTTTATTGATCTGATTTGGATAAGTCAATTTCCGCTCACCGGAAATTAACAGATCCGATTGGTTCCGGATAACAGATCCGATCTCCAGATTCTTGCAAAATCTTTGCAGGTTACTGTTTCGTCTACTCAACCGTGTTCATTCCTGGAGAGAGCCTAGAAGGATCTTTCAGCATCATAAATATCAAGGATCATGTCAAGTTTGATTCTGGATTGATTTTCTAGGATTTGTTTTGGATCGTGATACGACGATCCTGTCTAGAGTTATAGTCATATCAGAGAAGAATTTTATCAGGAAGAAAACAAGATTAGTCAGAATCCTCAACTGATAAATCCTGCCAAGTTTCGGTCAGTACCCTGCGCTGAACTGCTCAAGAACAGGCATTTCGAATCTTTAAAAAAAAGTACAAGTATGATCAAGATCTTGATAAGAAAATACAAGGATCTAGTTAAGATCTTTGCAGATTTGTGTTTAGAGACTATTCAGATTTTAATTTTCAGGCTCCTATCAAGGTTTAAAAATTAACTTTTTAACAATTAATCACCATTCTTGAAAAATCGCAAAGTAATTGCGATTATTTTCTTTTTTTTAAAAGCGTCAATTAACTACGATTCATTGTTGATTTTAAGCGATTAAATGGTTATTGTTATTCATCGTTTTATTTTTCAGTAAAGTATGTATATAAGAAACACGAATTCAACGAGAAATACACTTCTATGTAGATCATCTATTCATTTTAGAGTAAAACGGAGTTGTCAAGAGTCTTCTCTATGATCCGTCAGAGCTTAAGGCCAAGAAACCCAGTGAACAGCTAGTATCTGTGCAAAGTCCTAAACCGACTGGTCGGATAGGATCCGACTTAAACGGGTGCCGAGACCGTTGCAGTATGACGTACCTATCATTATACATAATAAACAATGAAAAAACAGCAAAAAAAATATGTATTTTCTAAGATAGGTTCGAACCTAGCATCTAGAAAAAAATCGTCAATTAAGCGCACGATTAATCGTATGATTTTTCACGATTAATTGTCGATTTTAATGTGATTTCTGTACATGGGAATAATGATTGTTTCACTATGTTGCCATAATTAGAAACTTACGCACTTTCGGTAGTACTGCAGGATATCATAGCTTCCAGTTGTGTATGAAGTAGTGAACCTATACGAAAGTATTGGGACCGTCTCAAGGTGCAAATCATTAGCTTTGTGTTTGGGACTGATAGCAGCGACTAAAATTGAGTATAGACACTTAAGTACTTTATAGGTTAACTCCTCACATTTCTTTTCCATGTGATGTCATGCAAATTATTTATTTTCTTTTCCACATACAGTAATTCTAAGAGAAAATGCTTTTTCAGAATGCTTTTTTCTTGCATCGAAGTCTCAAAAATAAAAAAGAGCTTTTAATAAGAATGGATACTGATGAAATTTCAACACAAAATTTCCAATGGTCCAGAAGTTATAGATACAGCAAAAATTAAAATAAAACATTTTACAGTATTCCTAGGGCGCTTTGTCACATTAGCTATGAACGTCTGACTGACTGCAAAAACTTAGCCATACCGACTTTTGAATTTCTGTTTGTTTGATGTTGAATATGCATTTCAGATGACTTATTAGTCGAGTTAAATGGATAATCTAAAAAATCTGATATTTTGTGTACCCAAAGAAGCTAATCTTTCTTGGGAACAGAATTAAATTTGAAAAATCTACTTCGTTTAACTACGAAATAAGTTTTTGACCGGCATCTGTTAGAAATTTAATTAACTTGTTAACAAGTAAAGAATATGAAGACTAAAAAAACATTCCGTCATCACATTTTTAGATGAGAGAAATTGACTGAGATAGGTTTAGACAATAAAATTTTTTTAGCAGTACCTGTTGATGCGCTTATGGAACGTCTCGTAAACACTTTCAATATCTATAAGAAATATCATTTTTTCGTTAAACTTAATATATAAAATCTGACTTCCACAATGTAAAAAATCGAGAGTAAAGAACAAAAACAAGCATAACAAAAGTATAATTAAAAATTTCGTGTTTTAGTTTCTTCGTACTTTCTGATCTATTTTGTTGATGATATAAACAATTGTGAGAGGATAAGAATCGTATACAATTGATTCACTGTTCATAGACGAATACTTCACATAATACAGCTGTAAATAATTTATTCCATCTATGTGTACTGCCGTCAGCTTCAATATAAACATATCGTCCACGAATAGGACGTTGACATTGAAAATGTAAACGTGGTGTCAATAGTGCTTGATTAGCTCGTGTCACATACGAACATAGATCAGAATTTTTAAAACGATAACGACGAGGACGTAGATCGACATAGACACTATAACGATCCAGATTGTATAAATAATCACGATAAACTGTGGTATTCGTGGCTTAAATTAAAGAGAAAAAAAATTATTTCAAAAATTTTGTTAAGAGAGTTCGCTTTACTTATAGAGTTGATTAGGAAACAGCTTTCAATTACCTTTATTTGATCCATGCCACGTTCGGACCATCACTCCAGACACTGTTGTGATTCTTCCCAGATCAACCATCCACACTGGTTTTCTGACATAATAATTATCGATCGTAGCACATTTAGACCATTCCGAATCTTCTGAACCATCGACTGCTAATGATGGATCTCCGTTTGTTGCTCGTCCACTACGCTGTTTCAAATCAGTCGCAGAAGCAGATGATAACTGGCGATCTCGATCATTTGTCCAAGTCAATTTTTTATAAGCCATATTTTCAACTAAATTAAATAAAAAAACAAAAACGAGAATTTTGTCAAAAAAGAAAGAATAATTAAACTCTACCACATTGTGCTTCACTATTCACACGAAAATAGCCCGGAAAACATTGACCTGAACAGAAAATATTAATAATGATGACTAAAAATTTCATTTTCTATTAGAAGAATGAGTTTGAAATTACCTTGATGAGGACATCCAAGTACAGCTGCTCTCATTGCTACATGATTATGCCATTCTGTAGGATGTAGACGTACAAATCTGGCAAAAAAAGGTTCATTTAAAAAATGGATACGTTCACTATCTCTATCATTATTTGCGGCAAATTCCTAAAATGACAAAAGAACAAGAGATTATTTAATACTTTAAAAAGATTCTCATATTTACTTACTTTTGGATCTATATGACTTTTGTCCTTATAATATAGCCATAAGCGTGTATCATTACTAAATGACACTTTGTACTTTGTAACCCATTGTTCTTGTGCAGTTATATCTCCCCGACCTTTTGTTATCAGTGACGTAACAGTTGATGGATGTCCAAGATCAAATTCTAACCATTGATCCTGTTCTAAAAGAGAGAAAAGGATCTTAGATACAGACCAGTACATTTGAAAATTTGTATTTGCATGAAAAAAATAATAATGATTTGAAAATTTGGATAGATTTAGTCATCTTAATATGACCCATCATTATTTCTTATCACTATTACGTTTTTGCTCTATCATACATACAAAGGATATAATATCTGAACTTGTAGTTGACTACTGAATTTAACAAACGAGAAAAACTGTTATTTGTTGTATTAAATAAGTGACTAAAATAATCCAATACTTCTAATTGAATGAAAGAGACAAACATTACTTACTATAACGTTTTTTTGAACACCATCCTTTATTACTGAGAAGATGTCCATCTTCTGGCTGACATGATGCATGTCTTCGATATGGCCATGATGTTGAAGCACTTATTTTACCATAGGGTGGTAAACCAAGATGTTGTTTACATTCTTAAATCATAAAAAATCGTTTAAAAATATAAACTAATAATTTTAAATACCCGTCAAACGTATACCTTGACATCCAATAATGTCTACTCTTAAACTAGGATGTTTATACCATTGGATTGTATGAAATTTAATAAATCGTGCAACGATCGGTTCATCAAAGTAGTTATGACGAACAGAATAAGAATCTGTATTACCAGCAAATACCTAAAAAGATGTAAAATAGTTGCAGTTAAAATTGTCTTTCCATTTTCTCTATACTTCTTGGAAACAAGATCTTAGAATATCTTAGTTTAAAATGTCACAAGAGGTTACAAACTTGTGATCGAACTTGCAAAAAATTTTCATTTCATTAAAACATGGAAACTGGTATGCCTCTTCTAACTATCCATTTTATCTATTTCTGCCTGTTTTATCTCCTTTTGATGTTTTCTAGTATAGATATTATCCTACTATCCTAGAATCATGTTTTGTCATTTTACAGTCATGTACTCTATTTTGTACTCAGTCAATGTATGCAGTTGAACAAAAAGAAAATTTTCGATATTATTCATTAGAACGATGTTGTATATTTATAGAAAAAGATATACTATATATCGTAATAAAATTTAAATTGTATGGATCAGTCTTTCATCATTTCGCAAAAGACCTTATAAGAATAAACAAACAAACATGATTTTAGATATTCTGGCAAGATACTGTAAAATCTTATAATAAGAAATGTAAACATGATACACTATGACCGTTGTAAGATTTCATAAGATCATAATATAATCGCATGATCCTTTAAGATCAATGATCAATTCTAATACATTAGACTTCTAACCGTTTATTGTATGATATTACTATAAAATGTTAGAAGAAAATGATAGATCTTGTAAGACATTTTTCATCTGAGAATTTTAACAGTATAAAAAAATCTTCTGTTTACCTTTTGATTTCCATATCTGTCAACAATATATTGCCATCGAAATGCATCGGTACTATACGATATCATAAATGATGTAACATATTCTTCTTTATTCGCTCGTCCTTGAATCAATACACCCGAAATCTAAATATTTTAACAAAATGAATATTGCTCTTTGCTCATAAACTATTGTCAGTTACTTTTGCTGATATTCCCAAATCAATTTGTAACCATTCAGAATCTGATTTTTGTCTCGCACACCAAGCTCGATCATTTGGTTGATATAATCGGGAATATTTTTCATGACAATCAGGATCCCATAATGATGATGAAGATGTTATTTGCCAATCGCGAATTTCACCTGTTGTCATACCTAATGGACCATTACAGACTAAAATAGTAAAAATAAAAAATTTAAAATTAAATTAAATTAATAAAGGTAAATAAAATTAACCTTGTGTGCTTGTTTGACATAATGATGAATAATAAAAAATAATTAAAATAATATATAACAGACAATTTGCAGAAAACATCTTCAATCGCTTCCGGAGTTTCATCTAAGATGAAAGAATAAATAAATTAAAATTATAAAATACTAAAATACATAGGAAATAGAGTACTTTAGAATAAATTGTAACATCTATCATAATTGTTCAAATAGTTAACAATTATTGATTAAAACAATTAATAGAACAATAACTGTATGTTTTGAGTAAAGATAAAATTAGTAATAGATGGCAGTAGACAAATAAATAAATATGTCTCACTGTACTACTTTTTTTTTTTACTAAATCATTTGTAATTAAACATCAGACATGTCACATCTGTGCTTGAAAACAACAATATTTTTACTATTGTATGTTTGTGTACACGTATACATCTACATATGTAATTATAGGCGTGTCCGATTTCTGTTCAATTTTAATTGTTGGTATATGTAAATAAAACATATTTAACATTCAAACTGAAAGAGTTGAGTCCCGTCTAACAACAACGATTATCGTATCATACATGTTTCTATGATTATTAAACATTTTTTGTTTTATAAAAAAACAAAATGTCTCCAAAATATTGCATTGTGTCTAAAATAACTGACATTTCGGTCCGATAACTTTTACTTAGTCAACCTCTTTTTATCACAAGTTATACTCGAAAAAAAGAGTTGATTTCAATACTGAAGTAAATTATTCATTCTTGATGTCATCATTTCACGACCTTAGATTTCATTCAAGATGAATCGTTTTATGAAACGTATTTTTCATATTGATAAATATAACGGGTAACCCAGAAATAATCGGACAAAATCATTTTGTTTCTTCAGGGTACTAAAGTATAGCTTGAAGACTTCATTCTAGTTCTAGTCTTCATTCTATTTAATGGAGAATTTTTCGTTCTACAAAACTCTCTGTATCCGATATGCACACGTTATTTCATTATTTGAGGGAAAAAACGTAGAGTAAGAATAGATCAGACGTAGAACGGCGACGCATACTCAGACTTTTTAATGACCTTTCGATCTTTTGCGAAATAATTCGAAAACTTACAACCTATCCCTTCCTAAAGAAAAGTCTGAAGTTTGAGTATGCGTTGCAGTTCTACTTCTGATCTACTCTTAATCTACGTTTTATTTCTCAAATAATGAAACAACATGTAGATATCGGATACAGAGAGTTTTGTAGGACGAAAAATTCATCATCGAATGAATCTGGAATGAAGTCTTCAAGCTATACATTAGCATCCCGAAGAAAGAAAATGATTTTGTCCCATTGTTTCTGGTCCACTTGTTCCATACATAAACAACATTAAGAAACATATTCTTGTTCTTTTTTTTATTGTGCTTTCTAAATCACGGTAACCTTGACACTTATGATCTTTCTCTTGTTATGTGTATGTGTACGATCATTTAATCCTTTTGACGTGATTATATTTAAAACAGGAGATACGCATAAAACTAACAGATTCTTCCAAGTTTAAAATCAACAAATATTTGAATTAGAGTAACCATCACTTTCATTATTCCCATTGGCACGTTGATTTTGATCTTATTTTTTTTTATAGAAGGAAATTTAGTTCAGTTCTATAAAGTGAACTCATACACCAGCACAATTATTGACGTATAAATCGACTTAAAGGGATTTGAGTAATACATTTCACCTTGAATGCATGAAGTATTAATTTTCATTATTTTGTATAAATACCCATCTGTTTGATTATATCTTAAATATATCGTGTCGCATGCATCATCTGCATTTATAATCGACTAAGATTGGTATCATCACCATATGTTCATGTTTCTTATGACATATAATTATGTATGTAGTTGAACATTTAACTTCCTTGTTTTACGATAATATATTAAAAGAGTTCATTTTTTTTTGCTAAATAATAATCAGGTGACCAAAAATTTAAACTGTCTCATTTTTCTTCGTATGAAAATTTAAGATAATCGTTACAGTTTATATATCGTCTCTATTTTTTTTTCTCATCGACACCATCAAGATGAATATTGTACGGATATAACTATTTCCGACAGGATAATATCCTTTAATGACGTTCAAGGACGATAACCAATCAACTTAGAGAAAAAAAGAAGAGAAGAATAATCTAATCCTAGTGAATACATATACGCAGTTATATGCTCTAAACATTAATAGTATAAAATTTGTTACATCACACCACATATGATTAATCACATATTTTTATAAATTAATGACAGGATTCAATATCCAACAATAGAAGAATCATTTTTTTTTTATCCTACTGTGCACCACAGGCATGCCACATAAAACAATAACTGTTTAATAATAGTTTCACTAAATACAATATCGGATGATGCGATTAACCAATAAAATTTCACCAAACGACATCAAAGACATCAAAGTTTAATAAATTTTTACTGTTAACGAATCTCTTAAGAATATTGAACGTATAATATCGAAGAATATTACAGAAAAATGGATGCATTACTCATAAGTACTAAACATCGAACAAACTAATTAATGAGGCACTCTAAACAAACTAAAAAAAAACCAACATGTGAAGATTATTCTAAATTGTAAACATTATCTACATCTAATGTTAACAACTATCTTCTGTTTAAACCCATTCAATCTTTTGTATGATTTTAAATCACTCTTATTCAAACTAATACAACAATAGAGATTCAAATGATCTTTTCCCACAGGAGATATCTTCGTTTGTTTTTTTCTTGTGAAATCAAGCAATCACATTATGATCTAAGTTTGTTTATAATACAAAATTTTTCTTGTTGTACTAATTGTTTTTTAGCTGCTGGTGCATATCTATTGTGAACTAAATTGATTATTTAATTTTGCTTAAATTTTATATAAAACTCTTGATTTTTATGTCATACCATATACACATACACAGTGAAAAGGATAAATGATTATGTCTCTTTGAATGGGGACCACCAACAAATGATTATGTTTGTTATATAGAATAAAAGAAAGTGCTAGTAAGTGAATGATGTAATAGTATTAAAACTGTTATTTTATACAAGTCGCCAACTGTGAATGGATACACACACACACACACACACGTCATGATCAAAAATTTGTCATATAAGGAAATACTTCGTATGATAGTCGATTTTCTGTGAATGTCAACAGAGTTCAATAGAGACTATATTGACACATTTTCATCTAATTAGGTGTTAGATTTACTGTTTTGTATGCTGAATATAAGAAAAATCTCGTTTAAAAATAAGTTTTCCTCCTAAAAACACGTATTCTTAGAATTTTAAAAAAGTATTTTTAATAGTTAAACAATTGATGAAGAGATTAATTAATATTCATAGAATAGATATAATCGAGTTTAAGATGGGCTACGGATATGGTATTAATATCACTATGCATATAAATCTTATTACGTGAACAAATTTTGAATAAAATAATTGCTTTAGTTTAACTACCGAAAATATCTTGCTCTGGTATTTGTCATTTTATGCCTTTAGGGTCTAAGAAGCAGATGACTAAGAGAGAAACAGAGAGAGACTCAATTTTATTTGAAATACTAAAAGCTACTATTTCTACTATGACTGACGATAACAGATGTACATGTAAATCAACGTTTTAATATAAAATAAAAATGGACAACAATTATTTGATTAATAGAGAAGAGTCGAATGATGATGATGATGATAAGTATATTGTACATGTTTTATTTCAACGATACAAAACAAAAATAAAAAGGAAAGTCATTGATGATAAGTGGAGTGGTGTTTTAGTATTGAAAAAAAAAATCTACACTAATGGATATAATATATTCAACTGTTATGTTGTCTACAAATGATAATAAAATATAATTTTTCAAAGTCAACATTTCTCTTCAAAAGTATGTCTAATAGGTTTATGCAATTATCATATCCTTACTGATAACTCTTACAAGAAGACTCTACTGTTTTTACGAAAATAAAAAGTTTATAAATAACGTAAGAATTGAAAATATTTAACTTTTTTTTGTTCCGTTGAAAACTATTCAAATCTTTTTCTAGCAATATAACACGTTGTTGAATTTTATACTTCTTCTCATTCATAAACAAAATTGAGCAATAATGAAAGAGGAAAAATCGCAACTTCTTTGAAAAGAATACATTACACTTGAACTATTTCTTCATATTTTTTCTAAAAAGCGTCATAATTGTACTTGATTGTTAAGCACAAAACAACAAGACGTAAATATAATATTACACACACACACACACATTGTATGATCAATACTCGTCTATATAGCATATCTCAAATCTTTTTTTCTGCTCATTAGTTATTGACAATAATAAATTATTCACGAAATAATGATCAAGGATGATGATGATAGTAATGATGTTTAAATGTTGAAACATAATCGGACGTGACAAGACAAATGTGTGTGACAATGTCCATATGACGATAACTGACATTTCATTGAATTCAAATATTTCTACTGTTTTCTTATGTTCTATTGTTAATGATTAATTGAAATGTACATAGAAATTTTAAAATGAAAGAAAATGTAGAGTGTTAATGAGCATTTAGTATATTTTATTTTATCAAAATAGATCTTTCTAGGCTCTATAGTAAAATTTGACTCTCAGACTCTCTAGAAGACGAAAACACTATATTTTAGCCTCTCCTGATTCTGAAAAGCGTCGCTGATCACGTCTCAAACAACATATCGTTCCAGCCGGAGAAGGATGACTATTGATTAAACATTATATTATATTTCTCAATCAAAGTTTCAATCATCGGAAGAAAACTATTGATAAATCTTCAAAATGTCAAGCTAGATTTGGATTTACTTTATAAAAATGCACCTGGATACCTAATCAATAGAATCGGTGAGAAAGAAAACTATATTAAGATTTCAGATTTTTTGCTTTTTTTCCTCTGCTACAAATACAAAACGTCTTACAGTGCTCATTACTCACAGAACTAAAGCAGAGATTTCGTCAAATTTTTTACTGAATACAAATGAGATATGAAAATTTTGTTGTGTAACATCTAATCTTTTCGATTTTGTCAAATTTTCATAAAAAAAGATTGTAGGTCAACGATCAGAC